TGCTTAGAATGACACTGAGCAAAGCGAATATTGGAAAACCACTAGTAAAAGTGTGCACTTCTGTCGGCGATGCTCCATATGTGACGCTAAAGTACACCTCGTCAGGGAACTCGTAAGCTGATTCCCGAATTACGAGTTTCCCTTGCGGACTCTCATGAAACACACAAAATTCTTTTCGTAAAATTCTTTTCGTATAATTGTCAGGGGAATTCTCCTTTTAGGGTCAGTTCATCTCAGCACAGAACCTCGAATAACCGTAAGCCCTCCGCGGACTTTGTATCCTTATACTATGGGAGGCGGCATCATGTGAACTTGGAGCAGTTGCTCTAGCCTTATCAGATCAGATCATCTCACCTGACGAGAACTTTACTACGGGCCTATGGGTTGAAGTGCACGATTCAGAGAAGTTTATTGTTCGTGAAGATGATAGGAAGTTTGGCTTTTTTGGATAACAAACTAAAAGCAATCCCGCAAGCGCCACCGTAATGTTGATTCAGTCGTTAGGTGGTTTCCATATATCTCTTGATGAGAGCTTTATGATAAAAGCTTAGCACTTTCGTAAGGCTGCTATGTTACAGACGTGGGACAGCTGAGTTTATACATTCACCGTTCATGGTTGTCGTACACCTGTCGGTTTTCTTTTCTGTTAGTTCACGAGATCCCAACACCTCGTCTCGCCATCCTCCAACACCGTTCTTTGCATCAAAGAACATCAGTATCACAATATAAGGAAACGTCAAAAGCTGACAATTCGGGTGCTTTCTAAAACGATCTGGAGAAGTGATCGCGCTGCAAGTCCTTTTTTAAAAAGGCCGGTTGCCGGGTGGCAGAAAAAGATATAGGAATTAAAATTGTGGAGAAATCTGGAGCAAAAGCGATAGCCGTCTTATTCGGCTTTTCTATGCGCGTGACTCTTCCATAGGAAGGCAGCCACTTAATAAGTACCGGCATTGGCATCTAACAGACGTTTCAGTAGTACCATTTTTTACATCCTTTCGCAGTAGTTTTGGTCACCATCTTCTTGGAGCTGCAGAAAAAAAAAGATGCTACAGAAGATAGCGATGTTG